TTTGGCCTTAGGTTTGTCACCGATCTGCGGTTAATGTAGACCCAATGGACTATATGCAATCAGTCTAAATATCCAAATCGTCCTTTTTGGCCATCTTGACCATTTTGAACTTAATATGATTGTTTAACCAGAGGCTTACGATAAAATGTATATGTTTTTTTATATCAAAATGTAGGTCCATGACATAATCATGCTTCATCATCCAAAAGGGTGTCACAGACTTTGTTTTTTAGTTAAAGCTAATTATAAACATTATGATCCCCATGTAAGGAAATAGGAGAGTAGGGGATCAGGAGGATGTATTATCTGCAAAATCAAATGACAGGAATCTTTAATTTTTGCACAATCTAAAAGTTGATTTTAAGAAAATAAAAATCACATTGTCACCAACTTCGATCTCTATATAGTTCTCTTCGAATAAATATATCTTTTGAATTTCTTTTAACGTGTCTCTTGTAACGTACCAAACTGCAATAAAAAATACGTTAAAATGCCATAATTGAGTATAATTCATTACACCCATCGACAAAGTGTATCAATGTATAGTAAAAAACTGAATTTCCAAAAGTATGATATCACGAAATACGTCGGTTTGTCACGAACACTCGTTAAATCATTGCTCCTATGCTATAGCATAGAGCCATCTTTTGCCAGTAACTACTTTAAATGATATATAAGTTTTGACCATTAATCTAAAATGTCAAGTGGTTTTGTATTGTTTCTTTTGTGCTGATTTAAATATAGCTGTATTATTGCCGGTTTATTGGTATCCCATTATGTTCTGTTCAAATGGTTTCTTCAAAATTTTCACACATGAGACTGTTAATAGATTGATCCGGCTTAATCAATAATCATAATTCATCACATTCCATATTTCCATTGTTAAACCGGTCGAGTGGGGTTATTTGTTAACATAATAAGTATGATGAAAATATTTCTGTTTTCAAATTTGTGAATAAGGAACACATCGTTTCTGGTTGAGATGTAGGAATGTTTAGCGTAGCTAAGATTGTTAGCAGATTGTTAGCACGTTCCGTTATTACCAAACATAAGAGAGTTTCAAAGGAGTTGAAATATAGAAAGACGCGCTCATTAAACCTCTGAAAGCTCTGGGTGAGTTATCTATCGGTTCTAGTGATTAACAAGCAAACGTATCAGTTCCTATACAACATCTTCCCGACAGAGAGATCCAGTCGCACTTACCACATGTTATGTGTTGATACAGAGTCGCTGAACAAGTTTTTGAAATTAGGCACTACAGGATTTTTGCGGATTATTTCTGGGATCAAAGTAAAGTAAACCACGGGAAATGAATTGCGTTCGGGTTTCGATTGCATCAAAAGCTTTCGGTCGAAATACATTGGTTAGTCATTGATATTCTTATACGAGGTTATTTTCATAGGACAGAGTCGGGATGATTATCTGATGAATTCTACGACAGAATTGTACACCATTGGAATTTTTTAATACGAAAAAGATTCAAGGCATTAACAACAATATAATGATTGCTGATGGAATATACAGGGTGTCACGAAAATGCCACCAACATAATGTTGCATACATTTTTCTGACTTGTTCTCTAGCACGCCAAGACTAGACTTCGTGGAGCAACCCCATGCCCCAAGAAGTTTCAAATGACTAGCTTAACTAGATGTGCACTTTTATTAAGTGCATAAAAGTGCATCTAGTTGAGTTACACATACATAGTTAGGCTAGGTGTGTCTGATTCCAGCCAATACGAACAAAGAATTTCATATAAATATATGCAGTGCATTATATCATGAATTACCGCATTCAAGGTCACTCGAACGATTGTCAAGGTGACAACTTGACTCTCCAGATTGAGATTGATACTTCGCCAACTTGACCCTTGCAAAATGTTTCAATAAAAATATGTTCTTTTAATGATTTTGTATCTCTTAGGTGATTTTGTATTAAATATATTGCAATATGTGAAAATAATTTAACCCAAAGACTCAATGCATTGTGGCTGCTTTATTCCACCCAGGCGTTGTTTCCTTAAATTTGCATTCCCGCTGCCCGGTCATGCAAAAATTTCGAAACAACTTACACCTTTAATGGAATGATTCAGCACACAATGCAATGAGTCTAGGGCTTAAATCCTTAAATAGCAGACTGCAATTTGCACCATCAAATCAGTTGATAGAATTCCGTGTAAGTGATAAAACTTAAAACATTCTCAGTGTGCCAATAATGTCAGGTGCTGTAAACATATCTGTGTTTCTCAGAAGGTAACTATTCACTTAATTACAACATGGTCGAGCAAGTTTTTCAAACTTATATTGTCAAAAAATAAGATTTTCATCAAATTCTGTTAATGATGTAACATTTAACATTTAATTAAAATATTGATTTTATTTTGGTATATTAGGAATGGAAAAAGATACATTCGGGATCATGAGAGACCGAGTCCCTTTTTAAGTAGATTAATTTTACTTGAGGCATTTTTAGAGAATCTTTTTAAGAGTAATAATTGGTTACCTAATACACTCTTTCCACAAAGGGAATCCTATAATAAATACAAATGTCTCAGATGTTATTCCCGGTCGGAAGATCTTCTCTAATTAGAGCTATTGACTGAACTTTCCTTTCCACTATATTTGTCTTCGGTAAGTTTGCAATACAGGATACGACTGGGGAATGGGAATCTAATCATCGTATATGGCGGGGAGAGTGGAGACGGACTGCGCTGTGTTGCAATTAGAGTTATTGGAACATCTTGCTTTGCTGGCATGCTTCTGGACGATTGAAGCTTTTATCATAATTCAATAAACGGTGGAAGATATTGCTCCCTGGGTTTGCTTTTTGCTCTTCACAAAATTTCTTAATTGCAAAATCTAGTAAGACAATATTGAACTTAATAATTTGAAACAGTGATTCATCGCCAGGCGAATAAAACTTATTATTTTCGGCATGGTACACTTTTTCAGCAGCACGCCATTTCTCGAGACGGAAAATTAGTCTGATTTCTGAACACATGATCCCTTTTAAATTGTATGTCTCCCACATTACCAGTAATTCATAATATTTGAACTCCTATAAAGTAAGATTAGTTTGATGTGCCCTCTCCGTAAATTAGATTTCCTCGACTGCAGACTTCAAAGTTGAGGGGAGGTTAAAACTTGGCTAAGAGATGTGGTGTCTGACAATTTAACAGTAATATGTAATCCCGGAATTATTCCACGATCGCAAGGTGCTCTTCAAAATCCTTAGGATCAGAAACTGTTTAGATAATTTAAGTTTCGTTGGGCAATCTTATCTCTGATTAATAACCCAGATGCGAGTAGAAATAATCTTGATTTACGTCATTAAAAATTCAAAATTCAGTCAAAGTAATATCATATTTGAAATCTACATGTAAAATTACATCTAGAAATGTGGTTTTAAAAAGTGTTTATCAACTTTGAAAAATTACTTTTCTTTGAAAATATGATTTCTAGCTCGGGGAGATTCCCCATAGACCCCATGCTATAAAATCACAAAAAATGAAATATCTTTTCTTTTAGTGGACAGATAATATTTTGCTTTACTGGACATATTTTCATTAGTATAAGTATTAGACACATAAGGGTTATATGAAAATTGAGCCACTTAAATTGATAATATTCAAGTTTAAGGGAACTTTCTTATATACCTGCCGTGTTAATTGACCCGAATCAGCCACCTGGTGGTGAAACTGGTAACTACCTACTCGCATTTGGGTAATTGCAAAGTTTGTTGACGTCAGTGAGTTGATGACGAGATACTTTACAGACAGGTATCAATGTCGTAAAATCCTGTTTATGCTTTACTGCTCGAGAAAAATGAATGCGTTCGTTCATAAAGGAAAAGACATGTTGTTTTTCGGTACAAGTTTGATACCCTTAATCGTCGACATAATATGATAAACTTACACACACAGATATATCGCTTATAGAGAGGCAATGAACCTTTTACTTATGTGTATTTCCGACACTTTATTTATTGAATTAAATCAGTCTTCTATATCTGAAAAATTGTTTTCAGAGAAGTGCATTCTTTTTGTTTTTTATTGTCTGGTATATCTAATATCGGAGGCAGATGATTCAATATTAACACCTAATTGGCATTTCAACAGTTGTTCTACATAACATCTCCCTTGAGCTAGATTGAGTCGAAACCAAAATGAAAGATGCAAGTAACATTTAACAAAATTGTGCATGTTTTTTCAGGTCGAGCTCATCCAGCAAAAACTGTCCGATATAAATCAGTCAGCAACGTAAACACCGGTACAACAGCTTCAAAAGATCGAGGACAACGACATCAACACCAACCAAAAATGAAATAGGAATCAATAAAGCAAACGGCAGTCACCCACAAGTCATTAGAACATGTACATTCTGTTGGTTGTTACAGCGAATCGTGTGCATTAATATTCGACAACTGGATGATTGTAAGGATATAAAGTTTAAAAAGTAATGCTGAATCAATACGATAAACTAATTCGGGAAAACAGAAATAAGTAGAAGTGAATAGAGGAATTAATTTAATTTGGTAAAACGTCTTGATTCGCCCTGCTGAAAACGTTGCAGCAAGCTTAACAGTGAAATTCCGATATTGGTTTGAAACACTATCTAGAATTGTAAGTTTGACATAGTGGATCTTACGCACTGTTATTAGTACCAGTTATGAGTTCATAATTTGTTAGTGGCGGTGTGGGATTTGAAATATCTGTTCGAGTTGATGAATCAATGGCACTTAACAATGTGAATATTGCATATTGCTTCTTTAATTCAATCCTAGGAACTATCAATACAAATTAAAACTATCCCATAGTAGACTGGCTGTACTCTACCGGGAAGTGGACTTACGGCAAGAGGCTACTACTGTTTGATTAAATCGTAGTTATCAATTTCACAGCGTTCTAAACACGAGTTCGAAGTTTCTTTACGTTCATTCTCGAGGGTCTTCACGCAGGATGCATTCTCGAGATGATTACCGCTATTGAGCGGAAATAAATCAACGAATACGACTCGCTTTTACAGGAATATAAGTGTTTAAATCAAGCAAAACTCATCGCAACTGTACCGGATTGTCTTCTGATGGCGGTCGGGCTGCATTAGAGTCGAGATTACTGACAACGTGTCTCTTTCACGGCAAGAGGATTTTTAGGGATTAACAAACATCTATTTTAATCAACAGGCGCCTTGATTCACAGTTAAACCGACAGAAGTCACTATTTGATATTCTGACTATCACTTATACCGCTGGTACACATACCTAAAACAAACCTCGTTGGTTGATTAAAATAACCGTGTTGCATTCAAAAAGGCATCCCGACCTTTATCCAAGGACATATTTATCGTAAAACTTCAATTTTCAATAAAACAAGTTGTTAAATCAAGTTATAGAAATAGCATCGCGGACAAAATCTGTTTGAGAAGAAATCATATATGACAGGCGAGCAAGCAAAATAGCAATAAGAACGCAAAAAAGGCAAACATCGCCCTGCGTTATTATTTTCCAATAAACTTTTTAATACATTTGAACAAGTTAAGAATAACACTAATAAATCCATGTGTAAATACCATACGTTGAATGTAGCTGACAGACTACACTGAGCTATCTTTCAAATAAAATAATTTCATGTCGACTTTATTGGATGATATTGTAAGGAAGAACAACTTCTGGGTTCTCCGAAGACAACGTCGATATTCCCGTGTTACTGCAAAATGTGACGGAATAGAAATTGCCACATCTGATGGGTGCTAAGAAGGAGATACTTATGTTATAATACGGAATCTTGGAGGATTATAGATAGTAATTATCGATCAAAAATCACATTAACTTCATACGAGTAATTGAAATCACATTTAGAGCTGGATAGAATGTGTTCAGGATGTGTTCTCTATATTCCAACGATAAACATCGAAGCCTGAACAAATAAAGGATATCCCTAATAGTAATTATCAGAAGCGAACCAATACTATAATAAAGCGAAAACAATACGATACCAGCAAGCGCGACTGACATTTATAGTTGATTTATAAAACATTGAATCATACCGGTCATTGAAGACAAACAGATCCCCAGTGGAGCCCCGATGAAATTCTCTTGTAGCTGAAGAGCAAAACTCTTCAATCTGACACAAGTGTAGACATCGCCATAAGTTAAGAAGATAAATACTTATTGACAGGTTGAAAGGAAACACGATTGGAATCCATGTTCTCGAGTGAAGGGGAAGACGAACAGGTAAACATCTGGTCACTGGATTTGTTAACACTGGAACTATATCTCTATACATCGGTTGAAGCGACCTTTACGATAAAACGCTGTAAAATTACAGCGGAGCGATATTTCAACATTTGGATCAGTAGCTGTTATCATTAATTTGAATCCAGAGTTATGGAATAATTGTGTTGATTTATACCGCCCAATACTTATGAATACTCGATACTCGGAGTACCGTCTATATCTACATTGCAGGCTATTTTATGCTGATTTTATAACGCACACGTCTCATATGGACAGTAGCCTGTTAGAATCCCTAAATAAATTTCCGTCAAAAAATTAACAGAAAATTGGTTACCATGGAAACAGAGATGGATATTTATTTTTACGACTGTTCCAAAGAAAAATGAGAACCTATCAAGTTCGACGAAGATACAGAAGATACCATGTTGTTTATACGATGTATCGTTCACAGTCGGAGAGTCTATACGGATAACAGTTAAAGGTCACGTTCCCTATTAAAGGTTACATTAAGCTTTACGAGAATTTCGTACCTCTGAAAACTCAATCGGAAAAGCATTTATATAAATCTGGTAGACACTGGAGATGAAAACGTCCTCGTGGCATCCATAAATACATTATTATGAGACGATATTTTTGTTAATATGAAAGCAAAGTATGAGTAACAGCACAAACGTGAGTAATCTATCATTTGCGCAAAATGCAAGCAGTTTTGAACAGAAATATACTCCTGTTGAAACTGCGCTTATTGTGACTGTTCTTGGGACAATTATATTTATGTCTATCGCTGGCAACACGCTTGTCTGTATCGCTATCTTTACAGACAGGGCATTGAGGAGAACGAACAATTTATTCCTAGTGTCGTTAGCTGTTGCAGATATGATGGTCGCTACTTTAGTAATGACGTTTGCAGTCGCAAATGACGTCATGGGCTACTGGTGGTTCAATATAGAATTTTGCAACGTTTGGATATCATTCGACATTATTTGTTCCACCGCTTCCATTCTGAATTTGTGTGCCATAAGTCTAGACCGATATATACACATTAGGAACCCGCTACACTACGAGATGTGGATGACGAAAAAGAAGTTAGCGTTTATGATAACGTCTGTGTGGCTGTGTTCGGCCCTGCTGGGGTTCGTTCCCATCAATATGGGCTGGCATAGGATCGGCATGGAGGATATCTCCACCAACCACCACGATTCCCAAATTTGTCAGATGGAATTAAATCCAACGTATGCAGTGGTGTCGTCATTTATCAGCTTCTATTTACCATGTATAGTTATGGTCACAATCTATATACAATTATTTCGTTATGCACAAAAACACGTGAAAAGTATTCGCAAAATGGATCGATTGAACCAAGTGGCCTCTAATGGCACTAAGACTCATACAAGCTACAAGGTCTCAGACCACAAGGCAGCGAGAACACTTGGCATAATCATGGGTGTCTTCCTACTGTGTTGGGTGCCATTTTTCACTATTAACATAATCAGCTCTTTCTGTCCGACGTGCATACCAGTGATGCTTTTTAACACATTCACGTGGCTTGGATATTCCAACTCGAGCCTCAATCCAATCATATACAGTATTTTTAATCAAGAATTTCGAGAAGCATTTAGGAAAATCCTTTGCCTTCATCGTTGTCCTAAAATTAGTAGCCAACTGAACATTCGAAAAGGAGGTTCTCCGTATAAAGACAAAGATACTGCACCTTATAGAGATACGGATATAGTGAGGTTCAATGACGTCAGTAGCGACGATATACATTTGAACAATAGTTTTAATTGTGCCAGTAGTCTTAGAAAAGGCAGCAGAGGCCCGTTGATGGAGAAGATCACAACGTTATAACAATCATTCTCAGCTAGATCCGTATTTAAGAGATGCTCGGGTAAAAAATGCTTGAACCATTTCACCAATTATCTTTTCCAATAGACTCGCAATTTTGTTAAAAATGAGACTTTTTCAATAAATCCACATGTTGCTGTTCATCTGATTTGTTTTAAAGTCGTGCAACAACCTTTCAAAAAGTTCAAATACACTGCATGGAATATTTTCCTCGAAAACTCTTTTTGGAAACTCTACGAGGTAAACAATTGTTAACTATTAAATGGTTCACTTCTTCTAGGTAGATCATTCAAGGTCTAGTTTTTGCATGCTAAAACTGCTCTTCAGGGTGCTTAGTTATCAGTTAGAAATGGTTTAATTTAAAGGCACGTCATACAAGGTCTACCCTTTGCATTCGTTCGACTTCTTAAAAGAGAGCTTCGTCTTACTTATTACTAAACTCTGCTTGCAGGGTAACAAGATCTAACCTAAGGATAGGTATCGATATGGTGAACTGAATTCAACAGTGTTTTTCTCTTAAACCAAATATTGAAAACATTCTGTAAAAACACGGTCCTTTCTGTAATGTTGACTGATTGGCAACAATTCAATGCAAAAATTATTCATATATATTTTATATAACTGTTTTTTTGTCAACATTTTTTTGTTTTTTAGTGCAATTGTTTTTTGTTACTTTCTACCCAATTCTTGAGAATGAAATAAAATGTCTTTCCGAATCTTGTTGAAACAAAATAGCATATACAACATTTTCTTAGACCTCTCAATATTATAGTTATACAAAGGAAATTATGGTTGATTTAACAATACTATGCAAAAACTTAAAACAGCACCCCCCAAAATAGATAAAAATTAAGATAAACCATTTATTTCATTAAAGAGATCGAGTCGTCCAGATTTCTATTCTGGACAATCAGTCAATATAATTGCTCATAAAACATCATATATACCTTAGATATATCTTGAGACCAAATCATAAGCACGATATCGACAATATATTGAGGATATCAACAGGACAACTAAAAGAACAACCAACTGTCAGAATTGAACGCAATAAGTCGAAAACAGAATACAATGTTTTTGGGGGATTTATCTATATTGTAACCCCTTAAAAGTAATAAATATGGCTTCTCTAAGTCAAATGATATTAAGGAAAAGGCCAATCAGACTGGAACAAATTTGAGTGGGCTTTTTAAATTTTATTTGAATTTCTATTGATGTAAGTGGAAATTCATGGCTAGGAACAATCATCGAATTGATACTGTTAACGAATTAATTCAAGCCTCAAAATTGATAAGTTGATAAACAAACTTGTTTTACGTCAAATAACATGAAAAAATCAGGGGGTTACTTTAGTGTTTTTAGGAGACCCGATCTCTTTAACAAGATACTTTTTTTAAAACAACCAAATTTTCCTTTGTACAATTACAATATTGAGAGACATAAACACGTTGCGTTTATGTCGTTTTGTTCCAATAAGATGTTTCATTTCATTCCGAACATATGATACCAAGAACAAAAGAAGTGTCTGGTGTGTTTTCTAAAGCAATATAGAGAAAAGTACATACATAAATTTCAAATTATAATGTTACCACACAAAAATGACCATTAGATTGACGATGTGTAAAATTTTCAGAAAGTTTTGATGACTGGTTTAAGAGAAACGCGTGATCAAAAATTTCTCCATATCGATACAACTCCTTTTACAACAAATGCATATTACTTTCGGCATCTCTTAGTCATCTCCCTGGTTATTTAAAAATACAGTAATTGACACGAAAATCTAGATTTTGAATTGTTTCTAATGTTATTTAAACTAATTATCGACCAATTTGAGATTTGTGTAATTATTTGAACTTCGTAAGTGTTCCATATATATTATTATAAAATAAATAGTTTTTAGAAAAATACAATGATTTCTTCCATTACGTGTTACACGTCGCACGAAACTGGGGACAATTAGCGTAACATTATGGCGTCAAAATACCAAAACAATACAATGGGCAGTATAGGGCGCAATCAGCATTATAACGTCAAAAACGACAAGCGTTACATTTTGTCAAGTTTAGTCAACCTAAAAATAATATGCTTTATTCTTATTCAATCCTGGTAAAATTCACAGAGCAACAAGATCTCGAGGACAATATTTCTAAAATGTTTTTGATTTTTGAAAAACGGTCAGGAAATCCACTTGGGACGTTAGTAAAAATTGATATGTATGGGATTTGTGGTAAAAAACCGATGCGTTACATTTTTTCAAGTCTCTAAAAGCAACTCTTATTTTGTTATCATTTGAAAAATAAAGAAACCGGTTATTGTTTCGTAAATTTCGCCATGACAATATTGTGCAGTTAATTTTTTTTGAAATCAGACCTAAATTAGAAGTTTAAATAAAGGTAGACTTATTGGTTGTCTCCTTCGCCTTCAAAACCTTACACAATTTTGAAAATTTTAAAAGCGTTCATATAAGACGATTTGAACTGTAGCCGCTAGGCAATTGTGACGTCATAAAAGCACATGTTTCAATGAATAAAATGTGAAATTTTAGTAAAATTCTGATCAGTATTTCAAAAGTTATCCCGATTTCAACGAAACGTGTAAGCGTGAAATGTTACGTCTTACAGCGTATTTGACGATGTCGGAGTACATTTAACTTTAAAAATATGGTAGATCCCATCAAACTTTTCAAGGAAAAATAATTTCAGTGAAATGCGAATAAAAATTACTTCAAAATGATATATAAAACACATAGTTAGCTTTTTAGATAAGGCAGATATTAACGCTTAAAGCTGAGATTAGCCCGTATTTCCCGAATTGTCCCCAGGTCCGTGCACGTCATATGTACGAATGAATTGAATTTTGATATCAAGAGATCCATTAGCAATGTATGTATTAACACCAATCCACTTGCATGTGTTTCTCATGGCTAGGAACAATCATCGAATTGATACTGTTAACGAATTAATTCAAGCCTCAAAATTGATAAGTTGATAAACAAACTTGTTTTACGTCAAATAACATGAAAAAATCAGGGGGTTACTTTAGTGTTTTTAGGAGACCCGATCTCTTTAACAAGATACTTTTTTTAAAACAACCAAATTTTCCTTTGTACAATTACAATATTGAGAGACCTAAACACGTTGCGTTTATGTCGTTTTGTTCCAATAAGATGTTTCATTTCATTCCGAACATATGATACCAAGAACAAAAGAAGTGTCTGGTGTGTTTTCTAAAGCAATATAGAGAAAAGTACATACATAAATTTCAAATTATAATGTTACCACACAAAAAATGACCATTAGATTGACGATGTGTAAAATTTTCAGAAAGTTTTGATGACTGGTTTAAGAGAAACGCGTGATCAAAAATTTCTCCATATCGATACCACTCCTTTTACAACAAATGCATATTACTTTCGGCATCTCTTAGTCATCTCCCTGGTTATTTAAAAATACAGTAATTGACACGAAAATCTAGATTTTGAATTGTTTCTAATGTTATTTAAACTAATTAACGACCAATTTGAGATTTGTGTAATTATTTGAACTTCGTAAGTGTTCCATATATATTATTATAAAATAAATAGTTTTTAGAAAAATACAATGATTTCTTCCATTACGTGTACGAATGAATTGAATTTTGATATCAAGAGATCCATTAGCAATGTATGTATTAACACCAATCCACTTGCATGTGTTTCTCTATTGCACTTTGCCATTAACAGCTGAGGCACGCACATTCCAACCCGACGACATAACATACGGTAGAGAGGTTAAGCTACTCGATTTAAAGTAATCTTGTACTTAAACGTGTAGAATTATGGGTGGTTCTCTATGATGCAGATCTCCCGTTCGCAGTATGTATTTAGTCAAATCGGAGGATAAAAGTAAGAAGAATAGTTATTAAGTCCTTATATTAATCCCTGGGTTGGACAGGGGTCATGATATTACACGTTCACGTTCTATTCCAACGTGTAGCTTAAAATTAGCTTTGAATGTGTTTTCTTACTAAGTACATATGGTTTATTCCGAGACAGACATAAAATCTAAATAACACATTTAAGCAGAATGTTTTTATTGAGAATCTTTCAAAAGTATATCTACACCACCTCTATTATTTTAGCTATTCAGGCATTCAAAAAATCCGAGGAACTGTTTATGACGAGTTCTATGTTTATTTGATCGATTATGAAGCCAAATTCCCATTGACTAGTGCAATGCTACATCGATATGCAAGATGAAAAATGTGGCGTTTCTGTTGAAATTGAAATAATAATTTACGGATAATTGTTACCTCAATTTGTGATCCAAACTTCTCTGGGGGCTTCCTGAGATGATTGTATCAAACACTGCATAATTCAAATGATCTTTGGAGTTTTTGGAGTAAACATAACAAACAATGCCCCTACAGTTAATGCTGACCGAATTATTGATGCTGTTCGTGATTTTATGAAAAAGCAAAGATTTATTTCAAAGTGACGTTGATCAGCTGAGTCTGCAATACACATTCTAGCTCTGATATTATATTTTTACAAAGTCGGAAACAGATTGTTCTATTGGATATGATATAAATTCGAGTTTAATCGGAATATGCTTCTACACTGCCCTCCATAAGTTTGGCAAACTTTTTTCCCCATTGAACTACGTGTTAAAGCCTCTTTACGTTTGAATTTTTATTTACTTAACCGGCGATGAAATAACTTATAATATTGATGGAAACGTAACTTGACTTTATTTCTAATACCTCCAAATTTTCTCAATTTTTTTTCCTCAATTACAATAGGTCGAAAATTGATGATAAATTTGATGAATTTTTGAAAATCGTCATTCCCATGTAATCCAATGGGAAATGGAGGGTTCGGAGCAAATCAGAAATCAGGATATCTTTTCAGTAAAAGATTCAGCAAAAATATTTTTATATAGAAAATTGAATTGTCTAACTTTTTGAACACTTTAGTGTTTAGTTTATTTGGTGAATATTAAAGTTACAGCGCTTCAAAGTCATTTTTGAAAATAATTTTCCGCCTCCTGTGTTATTTCAATGGGAGAGGTTTTTTGAAAAACAATTTTGACTTTAAAGCCCTATAACTTTGTTGAACCTGAAGAAACATATCAATTTTTTGTTAAATAAAGTTAGCAAATTCAATTGCCTGCCTAACTCGTATTTTTTGCAAGGACTCGGATGGATGGATATTCTGTCATATGACTTGCGGCAAACCTACCATTTCCCATTGGTTAACATGGGAATCTCGATTTTCAAAAATTCATCAAATTTAACATCAATTTTCGACCTATTGTAATTGAGGAAAAAAATTGAGAAAATTTGGAGGTATTGGAATTAAAGTCAAATTACGTTTCCATCAACGTTATAAGTATTTTCATCGCAGGTTAAGTAAATAAAAATTCAAAGGTAAAGAGGCTTTAACACGTAGTTCAATGGGGGAAAAAAGGTTGCAAAACTTATGGAGGGGAGTGTACATATGACGTTTGTGTGTGATTAAAGCTGTTATAAAATGGCTGTCAGAATCTCTAATGAGCTTTTACTCAGCACATATATAGCACCCCTTGAAACACAATTTATAAGGACGAAACTGTCAGTCTCTGAAATGT